GAGAGAGAGAGAGAGAGAGAGAGAGAGAGAAAACACAGTGCTTTCAGACGGTGGAGGCAGTATGCTGCGGAGACACAGAAGTGTGTGTGTGTGTGAGTGTGTGTGTCTGTGTGTGTGTGTGTGTGTGAGAGAGAGAGAGAGAGAGAGAGAGAGAGAGAGAGAGTAAACTCAGTGATGGAGCAAGCCCACGCAAGCCACTCCACTGCAAGCACTCGCAGCGTGTGAAGCGAGAGAGGGCTGCGGTGTGCTGCAGACTTCAATCTAACCCTAAGCCCAGCTACACGCACGCGCAATGTGTCACGCGCAGGCCTGCACATGGTACTAGTACTAGTTGCGAGGGAAACTACCCATGAATAAATACAGCTGGATTTGTCCACAAATGCTTACTTCCCTGGCATTTCAGATTTAACAGATCTGATATAACAGGACTTTTTCTCTGGTCCCACCATCCCTGTTATATTAGGTTTTCACTATGTACCCAGACTGTTAGAAGATCATCACATCATTCGATGTACGGTAGTCTGTACACTGACAATCAAAGCACTGAACCTTCTCTTACCTCACACAGACATTTGTAATTTATTACAATGTATTTCAAAGACTGCAATGCACATCCATTTGGTAATATGTATTATTTTCGGTGTCAGTGAGGGAAAAGTGTGATGACACAGATCAACAGTTTTGTTTGCAAATGGATTAAGTGTGAAATTAAAATTTCAGTCGTTTTTCAATAAAGAACCGAGTAGACTTATCATCCATTTGCTGACGAGTATTGCCCTGAGGCATCCCAAGTAGCCTACATGTAGGCTTACTTGTCTATTTGTTTTTGTTCTGATGGACATTTGTACTGCTGCATCGGGTAGGCTACATTGCAGTTTTATACAAAAAGTGAAGATCACTGTTGCTAGAGCTTTGAGTTCGAGAAACACAAACAAGATGATAAAACCTCAAACAAAGACATGAGCATAAACTAAGACTGAGTTTATTGTAAGCAAAAATTTACTTGTACAGAACACTGATACTTGAAGGAACTGATGATTCAGAGCAATTTTCTGAAACTGATACCGAAGTTCACAATGAATAGGTGAGTTCTTGATGCAAAAGGAACTCCATCATCTCCTTTTCTGCGTACTTATGTACAACACTGAAATGAAAAAAAAAGAGAAAATGCATAAAGATGTAAAATCCTGAACAAAGACTAGAGTAAACATAAATGGTGAATGCAATTGAAAAATCCGGCAACTTTTAACAACAAATTAAATACACATAGACTGTCCAGTGGCAGATGGATGGGTTGTGTCGCTAGACAGGAGACCAGGTAGTCAGTAAATTTAGATAACTGATTTTTATTGGCCCAGCGTTATATCCTACTGGGCCTCTTTTGGTGAGCATGGCTCGTTTTCATCTAATGGATGTGCACTTAAAGATAAAGATCTTAGTGGAACAGGAGCATGCTGTATAATTCAAGTGAGAGGACTGCATAATTTGCAAGTTTTTCCCCAAGATTGGCCCCCAAATCTACTAAGGCCTGGCCATTGGGTCAGGTAAAAAGAAGAGTTTGTAATTCCAAAGCCACACATTAAATTAAAGAAATAACCATTATTGAAAAAGTTTTTAAAGATTTATTAATGCTCTGCTTCAGTTTGGCAAGCTTTAACCCTTTTGTGACACAGGGTCAGCTCGTGCTTCACTCAACACAGTTCTTGATCCCAGGGACAAAGAGTAGCGCTAGATTTAATGATCAGTGGCCTATAATTAGACCTCGTTTGTAAATACTACTGACTGTCCCTAAATAAAAGGAAAAGATTCCTTTGTATGGAAAAATATCACTGAATGTGGATCAGCAAATACAGTGGAGTCTGCTTAAACTTAAAGTGAACTCTTTGGGACAAGAAAAAAGTGATCACTTTATCCGAGGTTCAGTTTAACCATTTTGTTTGGTAGGGCGGAGACCTAGAAACAGTAGCTACACGCAGTGGTGGGTCTAGGGTGGAGGAGCGGCAACACAGTGGGTGGGCTGGACGAGAGGTCTTTGAGATTGCCGTCGCCAATGCCCAGCTGGGATTAGCTGCCGATACCAGAGGCAATGAATCTTATTTTCACAGCATGGCGACAGTGACATTTCACAGCATGGCGACAGTGACATGGTCGGTCCGTTCTTTGTTTTCACTCATTTTGGGCGTTCACTTTATCCAATTTCCCCATGAAACCAGTTCATTTTATCCATTATTTTTTAAAACTTAAAACAAATAGCGCTTCAATCGGGACCACAGAATATCGCTCACTTTAACATTTGTTCAAATAAAGTGTGTTCACTTTAGGCAGACTCCACTGTAGGTTTACAACATGCATATAATAGAAGCAGTGTGAAGATTACAACCTATGACAACGGTGTGCGTCATCATGGTCCTCGTGCTTTGCAAGGCATGACGAATGCTGTATGTCACAGCAGCATTTTGGCTCCTTCACCGTAAAATTAAAAAATGACGAATGGCATATGCCATGTAGTTCATGAAACGGTTAAATGGTTCAACACAAACTACACACATGTATGTATAAAAACCAAAACTGGGACTGAAACCTCAGTGTAATTCTTGTTTTTGAGTTACCCCTGTTCAAGTTCTCTTGCATCTTGGCAGAGGCAACAGGCTATGTCATGGGTAAGGGGGAAAATAGCTATAGGAGACATGAGGCAAAAATACATTTCCAGAGAAAATAAAGAGTGTATGGATATGGAAAAGACATCAAAATAAAATTAAAAACTTCCTGCATATGTGTCTTACCATTGTTTCCTCTAATAAATGCATCGCCATATTTGTTCTTGAGCTGGCCATTAACATATTCCTCTGTCTGTTCCAAAGCAATGTTCATGTAGCCATCTAAACAGGACAATACACCTGGACAGTATAAAATAAAGACAATTAGTAAAGGGAAAGACATTGAATCATTTATAATATCTAAAACAAAAACTGGAACAAAACACATTTCTATTATAGGAGATGTGACTTAAATGTGGTCTGACAACAAATTTGTCAATACTATTCCCATAGAGATCCCTTTGAAACTGCGTGAGGGTGGTGTGATTCAAACACATGTCCATTCACCTGAGTTTACGTCTTTTCTTTTTTCTTTTTATATTAAATGTAGGTATTTTAATGTCCCCATGGACACAATTTTGATAATTTAGGAGGCGGGCCTAACCTGGGCTGTGAGGGATACAACATCCCAGCAGAAAGACTAAGAAAGGCTCTTTGATTAAAAAAATTTCCCACTCAGGAATCGAATTCAGGTCTCTAGCACGTGACAGCAAAGCGTCTAACCACTATACCACAGGTGCCGATAATTTATGCCTAATTTTAGGTACATGCAATATTTTACAATACATGAACCAAACCGATAATAATACAGTTGATTACGGATAAGTTGATGATGTCGAGGGAGTGAAAAACTGATCAACTCATCCAAAGTTCAACTTAATCGTTGGGAACTGTAAAGAAAAAGAGGTGCCGGTACCCGAAAAAATATCAATTTAACCGAAGATCAACTCTAGCAAGTTCAAAACAAGTGAAGTCGACTGTTTAACATTTCATGCTTTAAATTTAAATGTCAATCTTTAAATCCTTAGTTATTTGCAGGCCTATTTGGTATTATAAAAGGAAAGTTGGTTAGTAGAATTGAACAAGAAAATTACCAGTATTGACTGCTGATATACACTTTGTAGCACAGAAAATGTTTGCCTGCAGCAGTAACATCATGAACAGTAAAAGAGCTCTGTTGACCAATTTCCTTCCAACACAAAGAATGGTAATGTTTGGTGAATACTTTTCATACCAAATCACAAACATCAAAACTTTAGTTAGTCCATGTCTTGAAAATTTCTTTTCCTGTTCATTTCATTTTTCTTTTCTTTTATCCTTTTCTTTTCTTACTGATGTCTTTCTTTTTCTCCTTTTTTCCCCTGTGTATTTGTGTTTTCTCCTTTTCCGTTACATTTCTTCTCTCTTTTCAATAAATTATTTTTTAATGAAATATCTTCGACGGATAGGAAAGCATCTAGTCAATCTTTTTATTCTTTTCTTTCCTCTTTCTATGTTGAAGAATTGGCAAAGCCAAAAAATTCCCATTCAGTCGTTGCTGAGAGGTTCAATCATTATATTGCTTGTTTTTCAGGTGTGCCTTACCAGCACCTATTAATTGTTGATAGATCTCAGAATAGAAGTTTTTCTGCAACGCAAAGAGAGAGTCTTCCTTGAAGTCATATTTTTCTCCACAGTGCTTCAAGTCAAATAGAGTTCAAAAGAGGCTCTTCCATAGGTGTTGCGACCATGATGAGTTTTCTGAGAACACAAAATGTTGAAATTTGTGGTGTGCTCAACCATGTCTGATCAGTAGTCGACGCTTCTGGAATGATATAATACATAAATGGCACTGATGAAGCTTTTACAACCACCACTGATCACCACAATCCGTTTGTGTGAACTACGAGGATTTTATTGCGGCCACCTCTAAATTGGCTTGTTTTCCCCTCAGATAAACACTCAAAATGGGATAAATTTAATTTACAAAATATGCTCATGACTGTGGCTAATAAGTTGAAGAAATTTTTTAGAAATTTGTGATTTTTTCATTCCAGAAATTTTTAAACACTTTGATGAGATTGAATTTCTGCACACTGTGACAATTTTTGTTTCCATAAAACAATAGAGACAGCAAAACTAGTTTACAGCTTCAAAAGAACTAGGAACCTGAAATTATGGTGATGAGAAGTAAAGTGACCACACAAACTGACCAGTCATATGATACCCTTACATTATACTTTATGTTTGTACAAATGAGCACATAGACAGGTAAGGAAAGAAAGACACTAAATTCAGAATAGGAAGGGATTCCCCAGTTTTTATTGAACAAACATAGAGTCCGTACAATTACAACCAATTTCTCACAGTGACCAGTGTGTTAAAAAATTGAAGTATCGAGTAAATAAATAAGGAAACTACATACCTCTGTAATCTACCCCTGAATTCAATTTCACCATCACTGGTCGTCCACGGATTTGATTGAGAAATTCACTAGGTGTCTGTCTGCGACTCATTTTGCTTTATCAAGATCTGAAATCATTTACAAGAACAAGGGTAAATTGGTAAATAAATACATATCATGTATACTATAAATTTCAATACATTCAAGTGAAAATGCTCAATTATACTATTAAAAAGAGACCCTACTACCTCTACATTAAGGAACCCTAATTAATAAAATACATGATACTGGTCGACGCAAATCATGGACTCAAAATGTCCTGGAAAAATTAAATGGGCAAAAAAGCTTAAAACATTTTCATTCATGTATGGTATGGTACAAAAAGAGCTTCATAAGTGAAAGTCTCCTCAAATATTTCATCTAGGCCGATGATAGTAAAATTTTAACTCGATTAAATTCCCGAAAAGCACAAAAATAGGCCAATATAAGGGGGTGGGAACTACCGAGAGAGCGCCCGCATTTTTCTATAATCACGGTGAACCACGGCATTTTGAGAACAATTCAAACGAGAAGAGTATTTGTTTTCCATCTCTTTGTTCTTAGTTAAATTCTTATATAATTCATGCGGGGGACGAAGCAGATTCACCTCCAAATTTCCTCTTAATAGTCTTAATATTAATTTTCATGTGATGAAAAAGTTGCCTTACAAGTAGTTCAACCTGATTTATAGATCTAACTTAAATCTCAGCGGCACAAGTGAGCTTGATTAGGCCGTGTAGTCGAGAAAGTTGAATGCACCCAACAAAGAACCAATGACCGAATAGGAATCTGAGTCAGTGGGGGAAAGAGTGTTGTAAACTTTCACCCCATTGTCAGGGCTAGGAGAGCGTGAGCCCTCAGTACAGTGGTCTTTTTAGACTTTTTTCAAGTCTTTTTTTGTACAATTAGAGTTTCATTAAGGACGGGTAGTGGGAAAGGGCTCATCCTTTGCTTAGCCCTAAAGACATTTGATTGGCTGCTGGGTTACTATAGTTGTAAGTGGTGATATAAGTGATTGGATAAACGAGCAAGCCGTCAAGTTGATCACTCTGTATTCATTGCGTGCGGTAACCCCCCCGGGCAGTGCCACTGACTGTAGTGTCTTTTTTTAAGGCCATTCCCAAAGGGGGGACATTTCTCGTTCAAGCATAGTAGCCTACAGTGGAATCCACTTATAACGAGTCCGGAAAAAAACGAGAAGTATGTTATAAAGACGCTATTCTGAAACCCCATTTTTTTCTCCTCTTTACCTTTGTAAATAAAATACTGCTATAGCGCTATCAGACAAACATGCGAGTCGGTTATAGCGGAATATTGCTGCTGTTGTGCAGAGTGCATAGGCCAATTTTACATAACGTAAAACCTCGCCAGTTGAGAAACTTGTTGGTGATCTAGCGAAACAAAGAATGGGAGAACCCATGAGAGTCAACAATGAAGGCCGGAGCAACTGAGCAGGGAGGGTGTGGCATGCGCAGACAAGCAGAACACATTGTGTGATATGCCAGCGTAAGCCTAGTTTACATTATCAAGGCCTACCATGCCTCTCAGTCACTTCTCTTTTGTTATTTTGTTTTTGTAAAGTGTTTTACGGCGCTCGCAACTGCATAGGTCACATGAGCGCGTGGGACACTCCTAATATTTTCAGTTGGTAGGAAATTTTGAATTTTGCCCGGGTGGCGGCCGAAGCATTATCGATTTTAGACCACCAAGGGATCTTTAACGTGCGCAACTTGCACACGGGCCCTCCGAGATTTTTCGCCCTTGTCCGAGAAGGCTAGGTGTGGCAGAAAGACAGCAGTAAGGAGGAGCCAAGGAGTAGCAGTAGAAAGGCTGCAGAAAGAGTCAGGAGCCCAGAGGAGGGGGCAAAGGAGGTGAGTGGGTGGGGGCAGAAAGTGGAAATGAAAGCAGACAACAGAACATTGCTAGAGAGCAGGAAAGGAGGTGAAAGGAGACAATTTTAGAGAAGAAAATTTTTCGGTCGCTACCCGGATTCGAACCCGGGACCTTTGAATGAGAGGCCAACACCTTAACCTCTAGGCCACGAGAGCCCCCAGTCACTTCTCTGAAGCGGGGATGGAGAGGTCACAGCAATGTGATGGATGGAGCGAATGTGTGATGTGCGCAAGCAGACAGAATGCACCACAGGGTGTGGTGGGGTGGGGGGAAACACAGCGGCCGAGTTAGCCCAGAGCCCTTCCTTTCTGATCGCCAACGCCGAGCTGTCAGTCCACATCGCTAGATCTAGTGCTAGAGAAAGAAACTTGATTCGATTTTTGATCAAGTAAGACCTAGAGGTCATGTTGAAACAAAATCGTTATCAGGGGAGATATAGCAAAAGGAAATAAACAGAACACTCAAACTCATAGATTAGGCCTACTTTACAGTTTCCCTTGAATTTATTACTGGATCCCTTATAGCGAAAATCCTGCTATCTATAACGGACATTTTGGTCCGGTCCCCTCCCTCTCGTTATAACAGGATTCCACTGTAGAATTGTAAATGGGCTGACTCATGTCACGCTCATAACTGTGCCTGATCAACTATTGTCATTTCGTCATTTCGGTGATCTTGTAGTTCTGTTCGTTAAAATTAAAGTCCACGATCCATTTGTTTACATCCAGAGAAGAAATCCAGTAAGTCTTGATGACCAAATACTATATTTGAATTAGGCTACACAAAGAGCAGGGATGCAACCTAACTGCAAAACATCGAATTAGGATAAAATTCAGGGGGGCATGCCCGATGCCCCCCTGAACCCCCCCACCTCCATATTTTTATTAGTCTGGGGAGCAAGCCCCCCTGAAACCCCCCCAACTCTTGACTTTAACGAACTAAATACAAAATCGCCATCATTTCCTCTACTTCTTTGTCTTTTGTATACTCTCTTGTGACCTGCTATTTGCGGGGTGCCTTGATAGTCTAAGTCGAAGCAGACCTTGTGCTGTTGAAGCGGAAGCGAGAGAGGAGAGCAGTCTAAGTCAGATTCCCTATAAAGACTTTTATCTGTTGACACTCACCCCTTGGCGCTCCTTTATTAGATCTAAATCTAGATCTAGACCTAGATCTAGATCTATATAGAGTCTATTTGAAAAAAATAGCGTGCAGTCATAACGGTTTCAACTGCTTACTTCATTTAATCTAGATCTAGATATAGATTTAGACCTAGATTCTAGACTCTAGATTCTAGATTAGATCTAGATTCTAGATATAGAAATCTAGATCTAGATCTAGATCTAGACTCTAGGAGAAACTTTCATTTAGCCTAGACTTTGACTTTGGGATAGAGTTGGGGTTGTGGGTGGGGAGGGGGAGGGGCTCAAGCCCGTGAGCCCTTCACTACCCAATTCAATCAGGAGTACAAACCTGTCAATACAGTCAGTTGCGATCGAAAGCGGGACTGTCCGTATCGTGTGTAGGCTAGTAGTCCTAGTTTTACTTGCGTTTTCGTTTCGTGCTGTCGTGCTGAGCAACCGGAAGCCGGAAACTGAATGTGGTCAGAGAAGTTGCCAGATAATTTCATAATGACCAAAGTTGTTTTAGCCTATGTTCCTTCTCACTATCAGCTTTAAAACTGTTTTTACAATCCACTAAGCTATAAATACGGACATCTTTTTAAATGATAGGTATGTAGATATTTCTCAGAATATACATAAAGCTTCTTGATCAATAAGTAACAAACAATTCTGCATTTGAAACTCATTTTCGTAAACAGTTTAAAGTCCTGTCCACCCAAACAAACAAACATTCCTGGATTGACGACGCTGATTAGGCTACTGATTTGAGAAGGGAAGAACATAATTTGATCAGTTGAGAGACGAAGATAGAATCTCAATCAATACGATGCCTCTCATTGTGAAGGATTTTGGATGGGAGGAGACAGATAAAATGGTTTGGGTTACAGTTCCGCTCAAAGGGGTGAAGGCAAACAAAGTTGACATTCTCTCATCCGACGAATATTTGAAGGTAGGCTCGCCTGCTAAGTCGTCCCCCCAACTCACAACTGCTCTAAGTTTTGTTATCTTATGGCCACCTCGGTGGAAATAACGCAGTTGTAGGTCTCTCACCTGGGGTGAAAGGGCGAGCCTTTTGGCTATTTTTACCCGGTGTGCGTTCACCGTGATAGGCTACCAGTGTAAACCACATAAATTCTACGGAATGGTTATCCGAATGAAAGTATTGAAAGTGGCTATTCTCACCCGCCCGGAAGTTCTCACAAGATCAACTCCTCCCCTCTTCTCTCTCTCTCTCTGTCTCTTTCTGAATACTGTCTATCGGTGTGGACGATCAAATTGACCAAAACAAAGTTAAAAAATGATGTTAAAACACAAAAGTAAATTAATTTGGTTGTCTACAAAGATGCTACGGCTATTTAACATTTAACTCTTCGAATCGAGCCGAGAGAAGAGGGGAGGAGTTGATCTTGCGAGAACTTCCGGGCGGGTGAGAATAGCCACTTTCTTAAAAGTAACGTCTGATTTACTGGATTCTGTTGATAGCAAAAACATCTGTCTTTTAACTCTTTTGGATGTGTCTGCAGCTTTTGACACAATTGACCGTGCTATTCTACTCACAAGACTTCTTGAGTGCTCACTTAGCTTATAAATCGGGTACTGTGCTTTCATAGTTTACGTCATATTTACTAGAAAGAGTTCATTCAGTGCTAATTAAAAATAGCTTCACAAAGCAGGTAAGGCTGGATTATGGAGTTCCACAGGGGTCTGTTTTTGGACCAGTGCTCTTTACACTCTATACATACAAAGCCCTTAGCCAGCATTTTACAAAATCATGGATTGAGTTATCATTTTTATGCTGATGATTCCCAAATATATGTTAATGGCACCATTCAAGATCTGCCAAACATGATTTCTATCGGTAAACAATGTTTTTATGAAATTAAAAAGTAAACAAATTGAAACTAATCAAAGAAAAGACAGACATCATTCTTATAAAAAATCAACGATTAAATAAAATCTGGAAAGTGTCAACTTTGATTTATATGGGCATATATATATGACATCTCGGTGTATATATTGATCACCACTTATCAATGGGCTCGTTTGTAGGATCTCTGTCCAAATCCCTTTATTTTCAGCTGAGAACAGGGTTGGTGATTTTTTTGATTTTTTAACCAAAAATTTAAAAAATCGATTTTTTAAATTTAAATCAAGATTGTTTTAATTTAAATCAGATTTTTTAAATAAAAAAAAAAATGTCGACACAATTTGGGATTTTTGGTGGCTAAAAGTAAGTTCTTTTAGTGCAAAATGCATTGTCTTTATAATTTTAACTAATGATTAATTTAAGCAACTGCAATTTTTACAGTGACAGGGGGGGGAGCAGACTTTTAAGCATGATTATATTAGTCTACTAAACCTTATATCTGTTTAATAAAACCAAGGAAAGGAATTCTGAATGTTTAAACTGGTAACATCTCTTATAAATCCTATCTAGATTAGACTGTAACTCACTCCTAGCAGGTCTGAACAACAAATATTTGAATCGTTTACAAGTAATTCAAAACAATGCCGCTAGACTGATAACAAGATCTAAAAAACGAGACCATGTCACTCCATTATTATTTTAAAAAACTGCAATGGCTCCCTGTAAAAGAAAGAATAATATTTAAAATCTGCGTCATGTGTGTCAAATGTGTAATACAAATAAAACTGCTCCTTTTTATCTTCAAGAACTTAGTATATAAATATATATTATAAGCCAGGGAGAAAGCTAAGATCATCAAACGATAACACCCTACTTTTGACACCTGTAAAGTCATTATAAATCATGGAGAGAGATCTTTCTCATCCTGAATATTCAGATACTTCAGTTGTGGTTGGGGCAACGTTCCCGAACTGTACTTAACTTCTTTTTTGAAAATAACTTCAAAAGGTACTGCGAGAAAACAAGACTGCTCGACCTTGGCAGTAACCTATTTTGCATTTAGTCACCCTGCAAAAACAAATCTTTCATGTAAAAAAAAAAATTCCTGCACCCCCCCCCCCCTCCCGATTTTAGACAACCAAGGGATTTTTAACGTGCTCAACTTGCACACAGGCCCTCCGAGATTTATCGCCCTTATCCGAGAAGGCTAGGTGTAGATCTTTCTTACCAGAAGATCAGGGGTGTGGCTGAAAGACAGCAGTGAGAAGGAGCCAAGGAATAGCAGTAGGAAGGCTGCATAAAGAGTCAGGAGCCCAGAGGAGGGGGCAGAAAGAGGAGATGAAAGCAGACGACAGAACATTGCTAGAGAGCAGGAAAGGAGGGGAAAGAAGACAATTTTAGAGAAGAAAATTTTTCAGTCGCTACCTGGATTCGAACCCGGGAACTTTAATGAGAGGCCAACACCTTAACCTATAAGCCACGAGATCAAAATGTGTACAATGTATCAAAAAAGCAGAATGATAGCTATTTTTGTTCTATTTTTAATGTTGTAATAGTTGAAGTGTTGGTGAAATACATTTATAAGAATGTTTTAAATTATATTTTGCGTCTCTTTTTAGGTCAGCTATCCTCCATATCTTTTCGAATGCCTTCTTTTTGCTGCTGTTGATGATGGTAAAGGATCTGCTCAAGTTGGCAATGGTGCAGTAGTATTCAAACTTTACAAACAAGAACCTGGTTTGTGGAACAGGCTCCAGTCTCCTGATGCAGGTTGGTGTGCCTGTTATATCTGGACTATAAGCTTGATGCTTACATTCTGTAAAAGCTCTGTAGTGGACGACTCTACACCTCTTTAATGTTACTTGTTCTCTCTATATTTGAGCATAGTATTTAAATTTATAAATAATGTTTCCTGTGAATGTTTTTTAAGTAGCCAAATACATACATTGACTATTTCTTCAGTCAGGATGGAAAAGTGCCAGTAAAATTTCTCTCTTTAATAAAATTTGTACGTTGCCTGTGAAATAAACATTTTTTTTCCTGTAACTGTAAGATTTAGAGTAGGGCTGTACCCTGGTAGCAAACCCGCTCGTGTTCACAAGCCGCTAGTTCAAGTCACAAGCCTCAAATCACTAGGTCAAATCATCAAATCAAATCACCAGCATGATAAGTTAAGTCTAGCGCAAACTGTAACCTCCTTGGTCTAGTCTAAACTTCAAGTCCACAGCAACTAGCAATCCTCGAAGCCACTCATGTCAGGCCCCCTCATCATCCCCACCCTGCTTGCAATCCGCGAAGCCACTTACGTCAGAAAAAGAGAGATGGGGAGAGTGAGAGATCTCGCCCACAGAGTCACTGCACGGCGTGGCGCTGTAGTTTACTCGATTAATCGAAGGCCTGCGCAAGCCTTAAGTCCCGTCCGCTGCCACAGGCCCCACAATTCACACAGTACTGATTTGCGATAGGCTTAGAGATTTGCCCCAGGACAAGCTCGAAACCTGACCTGCTGACTTGTACTGTCTCAATACACAGAGCGAGCGGCACGCCGTGGTACAGCTCGATGGCGTAGGACAGCTCGATGGCAACAAGACAGCTCGATGTGTTCAAACAGCAGTACTGCTCGCTGTGTGAACTTTGAACCGTGGAGGAAGGGAGAGGCTGGGCTTGTTTTGGTGCAAAGCGTAGAGAGCTGAAGTTATTTTTAACTTCCCGCCGTTGATCAGCTAAGCGAATGGATAAGTGAGAGGGAGCGTGGTATTGTAGTAACAGAGACCTAAGTTTCTGGTAGTAATAAGAATAAGTTGACTTAGATTACCCTAAAATGGAAAACTACAGGGGTCGTTGTGATTGGCTTTTGTATCGTATGTATGTAACCTATTTTGTAGATGTGTTACACTCACAGTGACATAATACAGAACATTTAGGAGACGGGCTAGGCCTACTTCAACCCAATGTCAGGGCCAACCTGGGCAGAGAGGGAACAACGCCCCAGCAGAGAGACGGAGGTTCTCAGTAAAAATTTCTCCCCATATGGGAATCGAACTGAGGTCTTTTGCGTGCGACGATGAAGCGCTTGGCTCGTGCACATTAAAAATAAACAGGCCTTAACATCATAAGAATAGCCGATCCAATATTAATTTTTAAGTGCATTGAATAGAGCTTTTTGTTTTTTACAACCGAACTATGAAAAAAACCCAACCGATTTTGCACTTTTGGTGCAAGCCTCTCAACGCAAATAACCAGAGAATCTTAGAAATATGTACTGAGCACACTGCCACGAGAGTTCGCGACGTCATGACACAGTAAAGCAGGACTGTCCGCGAGTCACAACTCACCGGAAGTTCCCTCCGGTAGCAAGCGGGAGGCAAATCAAATCACATGCCTGCTCGCAAGCCTCTAGCGCAAGACGTCCGCTGCTTTGCAAGCCTTCGATTAACCGAGCAGAATCCAGCCCTAATTTAGAGGCTCCCCCTCAACAGATTCCTTTGGATTGTCAATGGTGACAAGAAAAAGAGATAATTATGTTGATTTTTTTATGTTATGCAGTGTGTAAATGAATATTATGGCCCAAAGCAATATTTTTGAATACTCGATGAATTCAAGCATGTGCCAATAAATTGTTCTCACTTTGAACTTTAAAATCTCTTTAACATTGAGTTAACACGAACATTTGAGCTCTTATCCTGTCTATGTATGTGTGTGTGCTGATTCTCTGTGTTTATTGTCTGTAAAATTGGTCATTATATTTGACATATGTGTACAGTTTGAGGATGTACTGTTGGTGTAAGCAAGTCATTTGTTTCTTTTATGATTAAAATGAAAGAAATTGTATGATGCAACTCTTGATTAAAAGTGAGCTGCTGTGTTGTTTTGAAGAGCTAGAGACTAGTTTATACCACCCTTAAGATTTGAAGTTGGAACATTGTCATATAATTAGTTCTCTCATTTGTGTGCTTTACTTATGCTGTTTTTTAATTCTGCCATTTTTGAGTGAAAAACATTTCTGTAAATATAATGTCATCAACACTCTCAGTATTATTGACCTGTCTACCTTGCTACATGTTGTGATACAAGATGATCTGATTTTTTTCAGATGATAAACAAATTATGAAACAGAAGCGGGAAGAAGCGCAAGAAAAAGTGAAAAAGAGACTTGAAGAAGAAGCTACTTTGAAGTCCACAACAAAGAGAGCCAATGAAAAGCTTGCTATCAATGAGATGATGAAGGTAATTTGTTCTTGGTATTTGCTTTTGCTGTTTGTTAACTTGGCTAGGTAATTTTGTTTTTATCTGGATTTCTGTTTTGCTGCAGAACTAAAGTGTTCGACAAAGGCAGTGTGAGGTAAAGGTAAATATGAGATTTCTAATTTTTCTTCAGTTCATGTACAGTTATTTGCTATTTGAAAACTTATTCATTTCATAAACTTTGAACAACATCTAAACAAATGAATTGAAATGCTATATTTCAATAGATACTGGATTTCCTGTTTTCTGGAAAATTGTTTAACCTGATATTCTCTGATTTTCTACATAGATAGAGGATGGAGAACGTGAGAGGATATCAAGTATCAAAGAGTCTGAAAGGAATAAAGCCACAGAGGATTTGGAACGATGGAAAGAGGAGCAGAGGATCATAGCAGAGAAGGTGGTATACATTTTCCTTGTATTTTCGTTCAAAGTCTGTTGGATTTTTTTCCCCCTGCTCTTAAAGAGTAGCCTTGAATGGACTGTCTTTATAATGGAAAATGTACTTTCTAATATGATTACCTTTCAGTTTTGTAGCAGCACAGTATTTTGCACAGTGAATTATTGCTGTTTTTCTGTGATGACCAGTTTTGTCCAACTGAGCTTGAGTGCTCATGCATATTTTTGGTCTAGTTTGTGTATTTCCTTTTTATGCATAAAAAAAAATGTTTCCACATCTTTTTATAACATAAAGTATGGTAGAGTTTACTTATCTTCATTGGGGTAAGGTATTGTCTTTGCTTCAGCCGTTTCTTGTTTCATGTTTGTGCTCTGATATTGTTAGTGTTGCTTGTGGTTCACAAACACAATTAATGGTAACATGGAGACGTTTTCTTATTATTTTACAGGAAAAGGAAAAACTACTAGCAGCTCAGAGAGAACAAGTTGAAGCGGAAAAAGAACGAGATCGCGAGGAAAGGCGAAAACAACGGAAGGGTGAGCTTTATACTTAACCCTCGTCCTGAGGGACGGGGGGGGGGGTGTTATGTCGCCCGATAAGCCTATTTCAGCACCTCGCCTTCGTTCTGGTCCTGTGTCAGTCCGGGCCCTGGCTCAGCTCACTTGTGCTGAGTATCATTCCCGTTTCGTTTGGGTCCCGCATCAGAACTGCATTCATACTGCTCAAGTGTGTGTGCTTAAGTCTACTTGAGTTTGTGGCCTACTTCTAGAGCTGTCTGCGTTGGTTCGTAACCGAAGCTTACGTCTCATTCAAAGCATGCCAAGTAAGTAGCTCTAGATATTCATCCAATGAAATTAGAACAAATTGACCCACTTAGACGTGAGGAACTCAAAATGGTAGTCAGGAAACAAAACTTCCATTTTTCTACACAAAGTCTTTCAAATGAGCTTGATTTTTTTATAAAATGATACTACCGGATAAAAAATAAGCTCGTTTGACAGTTTTGAATACCATTGTGCCCGTAAAAAGAACAAGTTGAGAGCAAAACATTCAGAAATTGACCTTAAATTATCCCCTTCCAACCCCAGATCATTCATAACAACCTGAGCGTCTAAAAAGGTTATTCGAATGGACGTAACTACTCGTAATGTCTTATCAGTTTATGAGAGGGGGTTATTCATGTGTTCGTAACACTTTATAAATAGAAAGCTATGAAAGATAGAGAGTTATTTTCATCATCGATTAATGCACCTCCACAGTATTCATGGCGAAAACACACGTTTCTAGGCCCACTCTCTGTACACCGACAGTACATGCTGAGTGACCCCGGCAGCCTTCCCAGAACGTCCGACGTAATCGGTTGCTGATAAGGTTCATCATTCGCATCTCAGCACAGATGCAGGACAAGAGTTAAGAAGAGGGACCACAGCATGGCTGGACATGATTAATTTGTCAATTTTCTTTTCTTGTTGTATCGGGGAGATTTTTGTTAGTAGCAATATATGACACGTCGTGTTTAGAAATAACCTCTTATTGTACATACCTTAGATATATATGTTAATCAAATAGACTTTAGGGAGAAATTAACTTTACTACAATGAACTCAGCTGTAATCTGGTACTTGAGTTGTGATGAAAAATTGTCATGTCTTCATTTGTTGTTTTTTTTGCAGCAAAAGCTAATAACATATTTGAAAAGGAGAACAAAAGTGGAAATGCTCCTCGAGAGAGTGGAAAGATTGTTGTGACTCACACTCCACGGGTGTTCCCCACACCCACCCGCGAGTCTCAGACCCCACAGGAAGAAGAGGTAATGTGTTGAGAGTTGTTTTTTCAATAGCTGTTTAGGTTTAGACGTGGACTAATAAAAAAGAAGTGCGTTCTAGGCATAGTAAATTATGTTTATTATTATTTTGAATGTATAGTGTTGCTACATTTTGTAATATTTATGTGAACCTTTGCCAATAGGTGGGTTCCTAAAATGTAGCACAGAGGGTTGATGATAAAGTTTTTCATAATTTGTTTTTACTTGAATTTTTCTATTCATGTATATCTTCCTACAAAAACATGTATTTACAGATCTACAGATCTTTCGGACATAACAGCTTTTTTCCAACATATGACATGTTAAGATTTGATAACGACATAAGAAGACTTCAATGAATTGGTCAAATCCATTGATTTTATTTTCATCGTCTCGCATCGCACAACCATACACTTTGAATGGATCGACAGGAACAATGCCCGTTCCTCCGCTCCTATTTTTTTTTCGTTTTGTGATAGTTTTTTTAGAACATAACAAATGATGACAGAGCACGAGGCGTCGGGGGATTTCCATTTGCATCAAAATTACGTACGATCACTGCCTCGGAATTAGCCAGGGCAGAGAGTAGACAGTGAACGATTTTATGCTCGTTCCAGGGCCCCAAAATGGCCGATAGAAAATGTGACGGCTGCATATGGCTTCTCCTTATAAAAAGATTAATACTTGAAAGAAAGACAAAACACAGCCGCTCTCTTGCCTACCTGCCGGTGAACTGATTTTATTTAGTTTAGTTTACACTGAAATCTCATGTGTATTCAAAACGAGACAATGTGTGACGTATCAAGGAGGGGAAATAATTGTGATATTAAAGAATCGTTCTTTCAACATTTGCCACATAGTTCATTCCCATTTTTACATTTCATACATCAGACACATACATTACAGAAACAAAGTCATGGGGAATCAAAGTTGCCTTGCGAAATGACTACACGAGTTATGCTCGAAAATGAAAATTTAGAAGGCTCACAAAGAAAAAACAGCTACAGATATCCTTGTTCCTGATATAGCACCACAAATAATGTCGTTATAGTAATAAAAGCACCCGCGTAGTTCTCAGGGCCCTGTCCAAGAGACAGGGGTGCAAAGAATAGGACCACTGTCCACTGTATCCGTACCACACATGTCGTAGAAGGCGACTAAGGTCGGGTGGGCAAAGGGTTAGCAGCCCTTTCCGGTAAAACAAAAAGCAACTACAAAAACATCAACAGGAAAAACAACACAACCGCCAGTTCTGGAAGATGGAGGACCTTCATCACCGAGGAGAGGAGAGAATATGGAGTGTAGAATGACGCAGGATGGTGAAAGCCGAAAGGAAGCCACCAAGCCGAGAAACCTCCTGTCGACCAGAAGAACCACCAGACTTGGCACCTGGAATGTTCGTACAATGTACGAGGCAGGGAAGGCACTGGTGGTTGCAAGAGAGATGGAGGCCTACCAACTGGACATATTGGGTCTCTGTGAGACGAGATGGACGAATGCAGGGGAGTTCCAACTTGCTTCAGGTGAAACAGTTCTCTACTCTGGACAGCTGGAGGAAATTCTGTTATCAACGCACGCCAAGCAGGCTTTGATAGGATGGAAAGCAAAGGGAAAAAGCGGGGACATCATGGAAACAGATAGAAAAGGATGCTCAGGACAGGCTTGGCTGGAGTAATGCTGTTGATGGCCTGTGCTCCACTGGGAGTTAAAAAGGGCGAGAGAGAGAGTAATAAAAGTGTAGAAGGACGAGTTTCTCAGCAGTTATTTCATTGTTGAACTTAACGACAGAAAATGTACGAACTCAACGTGTCACGTTTTGCATTCTAAAAATACCTTGATTTCAGGACGAAAAATATTTATAAGATTTCTTCTAATGGCCGGATTGCCATTTCTCTGTTCCCATAGCTAAAACATCATATTAAGCACAACATATATAAAAATTTCAAAGCTGTAGCACCATATTTATTTAAATAGGAAAGGATTTTGTTAGGTGTATGAAGAAACCCTCACCTATTGGCAAAGGCTCATGTATGTATGTCATTTCTGTTAATAAAAGATTGGCAGTCGGTCTCTTCTACTGTCATGTCAGAACTACAGTTGTCTCAATCTAGGCTTTTGTATATTACCTTTTGACAAGGTTTTCATAGCATGTCTGCTCTATTAGTAGTTCCACTGAGACAAATTAGAGATTAAGTGATTTATAAGTAAACTTTTTGGTACCTTTTATTTCCTTTGTATTCTGGGATTTTTTGTTATAGCGTGCGTCTTACTTTTTTGTGTTGTAAGATTGAATTGTCCCACCCTTGTAAGTTTTTAAGCTGTTTGAGAAACTAACAAGTGACCAATGTACTTTTCTTAATAAATTTTTATGGCATGCTGCTGGTTTTGAAAGATTTTTATGTTTTGATGTATTTTACTTGTTTCCAGTGGTTGAAAAAACAAGCTGAAGCAAAGAGGTCTATTGAAATGTCCCTAGATAAGGACTTAACAGAAGAGGAGAAGAACCCACAATGGCTTCAGGACAAAGGAAAGTAAGTTGCCCTCAAGTTGTTTCGAATAATTCACATAAAAGAATACATTTTCAAATACAGCTTTAGATTGTATCCAAACCTATGTTAAAGAAACTGATTTTAAGAACATTTTGAACTTAATTTTTGTCCCTACATATGGTCTTGAGTTTCGGAAGTTACTGCTGATATCTCTTTGGTTTTGAAGGTAACTTTTTTTACTGGTCTTAAAATGATAATTTAAGTGAATATTGAGCAGCACTGTGGTATGCTGTTTTTATGACAGCTGTATGTGATACCCACTTACAAGTATTTGAAAATAAAAGGTGTATGTGATATTTTTATTTCATGAACATTATGTAATTGTCTAAAATCTACCATGGTTTTCCCCATAGCAATTTTACCCTTTCTATTTCTACCCACCCAAATTGGTCAAAACAAATGTAGAGCTAGCATTCCGCTAGCACAAAACCAGCCAGCAAACAGTTCTGCACTAGAGATCAACGAAGCGTAAATTGGCTGCGTACACACACTTTCTTTCACCCACAAAATTTCTTTTGTGGTATGCTTTGGCTGTGGTGAAAATAGATAACTGACATTAAGCTGCCACCTCGTTTTCAAGCTTAGTGAGGAAAGTGTGTCAGAGCAAGAGTCAGCAGTCAGAATTTACTTTTACTTCTATTAAAAAGTAAAGCAGAATGTGAAACTTGATGGTTCCTGAGGGCACAGGAAGTTGAACACTTTGGTGGCCTTTGCTGACAAAGAATGTGAACAGGAAAGGGTTAAACAGCCCAACAATTTTTAAAAAAAAATGAACAGACCTTTCTTTTGTACTTTTTTTTTTACAGATTGTTTTTTGTTGTTGTGAAAAGCTGTGTTTTACCTATTGTGTGTTTCAGTTCTTTCTTCGCCTCCGGTGACTACAAATCTGCCATCAACGCCTATACTCACGCCATTCATCTGACACCAAAACTGCCATCGTATCCTTTTAGGGGAATTGTGTACTGGTTTGATTGCTATCTTATATGTTTTGTGCTCAAGTTTATATAGAAAATTTACTCCTCTGAGATATAAAATGTAATGGTCTGTTTGTGTAGAGCCACTTGCTTTTGATTTTATTTTCAGGGGTTCTTAGAGAATAAAACCCTTACAAAGTTTGAAGTACTCTTTTGAAATCTTTAATTTACGTGAAAACTTGCATATTACTGAATGCAACACAAACTTTACAGTTTACTTGTCTATTTCCTGACATTTTGACATTTTTATCTTTAAGTTAGAAGAAATAAGATTTATAACTAGAGATAAGTTTTCTTTGACTTGTATCTAGACTCTACTCAAATAGAGCTGCCTGTCATCTGAAACTGAGGAATTTTTTTAAGGTCATTGAGGACTGCTCAAAGGTAAGTTGAATCTGCCTTTTTGTTTGTGCTTGCATGTATGTGTGGGGCCATGCACCTGTGTGTGCATGTATGTGTGTGTTTTATGTAAATATATGTATCTAAAACTACTTCCGTCTGTTTTGTTTAAGTGAATTTGATCTTTTTTGTATTCATGAATACAAGGTTTTGTCATCCAATCAGAGAAAGCACTGAGGTTGCAAAAAGGTCTCTTGAATTGGAAGATTTTGTAACATTTGCACTGCCTGCTTTGCTTCAAGGCCTGATCATTTACTTTCATGTAATATAGTATTCTGTGGTCAGAGTCATCTCCCAGATGCCCGGGGGGGGGGGGAGGTTGGTTCAACCCTTTCATTTCATCTTGACATCAGTAATATAGTGATCTGTTCCTGATGAACTGGCTGTTATTATGATATTCTGACTCGCCATGAAACCATTATTCCTTAAAGTATTTGCAAATGATTTACTCTTATTTATTTTTTCTTTGCCTGTGTTTTTTTATGATTGTACTTGTACATTTTAAATGGTTTCAGCATCACACTTGCTGACTTTTATTCCTTTCTCTCGAACTTACTTATTCAGCATCTTAGCTTTTTCCAGTAGAATGCTTGAGATTACTATTGAAATATTGAATAGTTGCTCAGTTAAGCTACAGGTAAACTCATCAGTGTACCTAGAGTAGGAACAGTTGAAGGAGAGGGCAGCTAGTCAGACCCTATTGGTCTCACAGTCTTTACTTGTAGTGAAAGCTGTTGTCGATATGCATACTCTCTGCTGTCTTGTTGGTAGACTAGACTGCTTTCTTCCATAGTAAAATACTATTTCCTTAACCCATTTTGCTATCCTAATTTATTCTTTCTATTCATTTTGCTTTCTTTTGGATGTGCTGTCCTCAGGCTATGGATCTGCTGTTTCCCCCTGTGCCACAGAATGCTAAGAGTAGGTGCAAAGCTTTAGTGCGGAGAGGTACAGCTTTCTGTGAATTGGAGTTGTATGTGGAGGGTAAGTTTTCTTATCTGGAAATGGCAAGTGCTTTCGTGAAAAATTGTTGAATGAGGAAATTCAGCTCAAGATTTGAGAACAAAAGGATTTTGGTTCTTTACTTTAGAATGGATAAGGAGAGAGTAAAAGTCTGTTGTGTACCAATGCTTCTGTGTGTTGACATAGGTAAGCCTATTGAAACAAGCAAACAGATAATCAGATATCATCAAGAAATATATTTTGTAGTGATACACTCTAATAATTTAAGTTCAAATTTCAGAGAGATGTGAGAAATGTAAGTTTGATTAAAAGGGATTTCAGGTTTAATAATGGAATAAGAAAAGCTATTTTCAGTTAACCAGTTATGTATATTAAAATTAAAGCAATAATATCCTAGTCTAAAAAATATAACCTTATGCAGTTACAAAAAATTGTTTAGTTAATACTGCTGAATAAGGAAATAATGTCTGATTCAGTCATAATAATGTAACGGTTTGATGAGTTGTTTTTTTTCCCTGACTCTGAACACCTCATCTTCAGTGACCGTCAAAGGATTTCAGAAAGTAATGGGAATGGAGTTACAATGTACTCTATTACAATGGTTTGTGAGGCGTTCTTCATTGTGGAATGTTCTTTTACCACAGGTCGCTCTGAATTATTATTTATTGCTGAAAACATTTTTTATTTAATGATAAATAATTACTTATTACGTGCATTACCATATACCTGTTATCCCATCTCTCACCAGGTTTAAAAGACTATGAAGCTGCTTTGGCGGTTGAGCCAAAAAATGAGGCTTTGGCTGCTGATGCTGAGAGGATTCGTCAAGTGATTCAGTCTACTGAAGCATGATTGTAGCTTGACTTACACATTGAAAGGGTTTATTTATGATTACATGAATAGAATATTGTCGATATTTTCAATTTGCAAATAGGGCCTCCTGAACTGTGGCATCTGTGTTAACTCGTTGTAGTTTGTATTCCTTATGATAAAGGCCTTCTACCTCTCATTTAGATGATGGGGTTTCAGGGTGGATCTTTTGATTATTCAAAGGAGCATTTGCTGATGAAATATTTCCTTTTGCACAAGTCCATTGATGTGGAGAATAGTTTCTAACTGTTATCAGGTTCCTTGGTCCTGTGGGTGCCCCAAGTGTGCGCCTGATGTAAATTATTTCTGGCCTTACAAGACTAATGTGTTGTATTTATTTCTTCAGAACCCTTTTCCTTTACTGTTTAAAAGTATGCAAAGCTCTTGTGTCTGCTTTTGCAAGATTGCAAATCCATTTACAAAAATTACATTTGTGATAATATGCTGTTTGACAGCTACCTCCTTTTCAGTTCAGTTTTCGTTTTTGTGTTTTGAAAAATCATATACTGCATCACAATCTTTTTGTTGTGGACTGGGCTGGCTATGTCAGTCTTCCAACATTCCAGCAGTTATTGTAAATATTTGATTATATGTTTTTCTCTTCATAAATCTTTCCATGTTCCATAATCTTCAACACAGCAACGGGGTATTCATGATGTGTTGAATTAATTGACATCCTGCAAATGAATAAGATTACTCGTTGTGGCTATTTTATTTCATAACTTAAATAAGCTTTTCTAAGATTATTTTGCATTGTGATGTTTTTTTGGTCATAATTGTTTTGTTTTTTATCCAAAGGCCTGCCATTTCTGTTCCGTCCGAGAAAAGACTGCCATTTTGTTACTATAAAGATGATCATCCTTTCTCATTTTAATTTAAAGTTTAATTAACTGAGGTAAAGAAATTTGCACAGAAACTTGAGAATCGTCCCAATGTTGATGTTTTTGTTCGTTGTACCACATTGAAGACATCCGTCCAGTGTTTTCTTTTGTTTTTCATCTTTTATTTCCCCTTTATTTGAAAATTTTCCTCGAAGTGTGAACTTACCAGTAATGAGAAATAAAAAATTTCTCTTCAGCTACTGATTTTAGGTAACTCCTTACTTCAACATTTATAGTAGGAGTTACCTTTCTTATAATATCTTTTGACCATCTAAGCTGAAGTTTTTGTATCTCATACATTTTACCTCTTTTTTCATGCTCATTTTTGTGTCAAAGCTCTATGTATGTACCTTTTGAAGGCATTAATAATGAAATAGAGAGGAACTAGTTGTAACTAACTGTCTTACTCATGCTTTTAAATACTCCAGAGCAAAGCTGAGTAACAGCTAGCTCAGAATGATTTACCAGCCTGGTGTGGAAGGTTGAAACCCAAACTCGCTCACGTTATTCTGTGATATGTTATCTATCCAGGTGACAAGGAGAATGGAATTAGTGTCCGTTCACCTTTTTAAAATAACTCCAACAGGCCTCCTGAAGTTGCAGCATGGCATTTAAAGTTTATGTTGATAGAATGTAGCTGCTTAGCTTTACCTTTGTGTTCTACATCTCAAGTTGGCATGTAATGCTGGTTGTGAGTGTATAACATATACATAGCTGAAGCTTTTTTAGGCTGTCTTATGTTTTTGCTGACAAGATGGGCAATGATTATGTTGTTGTTGTTTTTTTTAATATCTGAACTGAATATCTTTTTATGCCATGGCAACCCCAATTACTGAATTTTCCTGCTTGTGCTTTGATAGCCTTTGAGCTAAGTGGGTGTGATAATCTTACTCTTGTCAGGGGTTTGTCTGAAACTTTATCCATGATATCAGAGGCAGCACAAACTAATGGGATAGACAATTTCAGACAACCTTTTGCTGATTTTATTTTTGAGTAGCTGCTGAGTGTCTGGCTTTATTTAGAATGAATTAAGGCTGAATGATGTACAAGAGTTATGAGGTCATCAACCTTGAAATATATTGATCCAGTAGTGTTATGACTGTTATCGATCCAGGAACTGGGAAGTCAGGGCCTATTGATTCATCCTCACTTTCATAACTGTAATGTTTTTATTTTCTCTGTATTGTAGCTGCAACTCATCCTTCCGTTTTTCTAGGTTGTCTCAAGGGAGTGAAAACAAGTAAACATGCAGAGGTAGTCAAATACTATGTTCAGTTATCATTGTATGGTTGCTACACTTACGTCATGTGTAATTTTAGATTATTCTTTGTTCCTGTACTCTTGAATGTGTCAATGTTTGTGGTGTTCAAGTGTTTGCCAGCAGTAGCATTAAAACAATAGAAAAGAGAGAATGTATATTGAGCAATAGGGTTGAAAGCAAAAGTGTATTCTGATTGAATATTATGGATGAAAATTCATCTTGGTTTGAAACTGTGATCTTTTGGTATATTTTGCTGTGTTTTATGGTCAGAATGAAAATTAAAGTTGCTTGACATGCTTTGAGGTGTTCTTTTTCTTTTGTCTGTATCAGATAGATGTTTTACTGTTCCTAGGTCCTATTGATGCGGAATGCAAATCACTAATTGCCTTGTCTTATACTTTTACAGCTCTGATACAAATGCACATGCACTGATGTCTTTTTCTGTGAGCAAAAGAGATAAAAATGCTGAAAGTTTGGATTTAGGTCTTTTAGCGCCATGGTGTATTAAAGTTATTGTGCCAAAAGTGAATGAGAACTATGCTTCCGTGCCAAGGCAGAGCGAAATGTCTGCACTTTTTATGATTTTGAGTTACGTCGTGCTGCCATTGGAAATATGGGCGTAGCCCTTCAGTTACGTCTGTTTGCCATAGTGAAATATCCTATTTGAAGTGCAAATACGTCTTCCTGCCCTAGACACAAGATGCAGAATGGGTGTATAGGTGTTCATCTAAGCTGAGATGCAAAAATAAAATTTTTTGCAGATACATCGGTCTGCCTTGGCACGACAGTATGGTTATGCTGGAAATGTAAGAGTTATGAACAAATTTCAGAATATGAAAATACATGTACACATAAATAATATATATATATATATATTTGTGGGAATCTGTGACCCCAGTTCTAAAGTTGTATATAAACTCTAGTGTTTCTTTCGCACCAATGATGGCTTGAAAGGCCCGTTTTGTTGTATACAGTGAGACTCTATGTTTCCCTGAGTTCACATGGCTCCTTGGTGTAGACAGCTACATGCACGTTCAAGATAAATGCGTTCAGTTTGTTTTTTTGTAGATTTTAATTTTAAAATACCAGTGCTTGTCAGGAGTAAGTTGTCTATGTAAGTAGAGTCTTGTGTGGTTATGGTGGTTGAAGGGGGCAATGCTTCTGTGGTCCTTCTTCTTCCTATTTCTGCCATTCTGTTTCTTCCTATGTGATTTTCTTTGTGTTACTGTTTTAAGCTCTAACTCTCCTGCTCATTCAACAACAAAGTGGGTGGTTTGTGGGTGCCCTGGTGTGGTTTGCTTCTTCTTTCCTATGAAACATCTATCGTCTTTATCTCCCCTCCCTTTTTGTGTTTGTTACTCTCTTGTAATGTAACACCTACCTCTAATCTTCGGCACGTATATTACCTTATTGTGTTGTAAGTACCGTAAAACTCTTACTAAAACTAAACATCAGTCAACAACCCTTCTTCC